ACATGTTTAAACAGTATTGAAACTCTTGTGCCTAAAGGGTCAACGTCACTTTCAATTTTTCATCTTCTGCAGTATACATAAAGGTACACTTTTCTGTCCCTGGAGGGATATTTCACCCATCGTTCAATGCCACAAGGGCAGCCTTTAAGAAGCAGTGCTCTCTAAAGTGCAGACCCATCTCCAGATCCTGACGCTCGGTTTGGTCAAGACGTGGAAGACTGTGGAAGATACTACACTTTTACCTTCTACCAAACCTGTGACCCTTTCAGAATAAAAACACCATTTATCCCTCAACATGAACTGCAACAATACAAATAGACAATTCATAACTCTTGCCACCCAAAAGCAGTTAAAATAATAGAACCCTTTAACCCAACATCCACAACTTAAAGATGCTATACCCGATTTTTTTCTAATGAGTTCATAAAAATGCTTATTACTCCATATAAGTTGTATTATAATCCGTAATTTAATTGAAAACCTGAGCTCATTGATTCAGCTTGTGTATGAATTCAGGCCGTATAAAAGTGCTGAGTAGAGACTTTAGCGTGACGCCCGCTCCCCTCCACTCACAGAACGAGGAGGCGCCGCCTGTTATGAGCAGGCTGCGTCCTCTAGCCTCTACAGCGCTGCTAAACACAGTAGCATGTTAGCAGAACTGGCTATAACTCCTCTTGCTGTAACTGCATACACAGCGAAACCGTCCAAACGACACAACAGTGGGGAAGAGAAGAGAGAAATAAAGCGTAAAAAATGATCAAAGAAATTGTCTATGGGAGAGACCTACAGGACCGCCTCGGCCTACCTATGCTCGGACTACATTCGGACACGAAACTAGCGGTAATCTTTCAGCTATATATTTTGTTAGCAGTGCGTTGCTTTTGTACCATTTCAAGTAAGTAAGTAAGTAAGTAAGTAAGCTTTATTTGTATACCGCCTTTCACAGACCAGAGTCACAAAGCGGTTTACAATTGTTATTTTTGGGCATTTGTCCTCTCACTCCACAGAGATGGGAGCGGGGTGATTGATCATCAGTGATTGTTGTACAGCTTACAATAAGTTGCGCTCATGCTAATGTTTGCATACTGTACATTCATAGCATTTATATTGCGACATTTATCATTCTTAACCTTGGTAGAATTCCATGTAAAAAGTGACTTGTGTCTTACGTTTAAGGCTCAGGAGGTTCCTTTAATAAGAAGCCAGTGCTGCTTAACTACCTGACATGTTTCGGCGATATACTTCTGTGTTTGTCAGCGGTGACACGTGATGGTGTGACGTGTCTCTGATCAGCTGTTGTTGCCGGATTTGGCCAGTCTGACAGATCAAGCAGATCAGTCAGACCCAAGTTCTGCGAGATCTAAGCAGTACTTGCTTATTTAGGTTTATTGCCCCCCTAAGCCTAATTCTGTTTACAATTATTCATTACTCTGGACTATATATTCCAAATGACACTATATTACAAACTTAAAATATGCACATAGTTTTCCAGCATCTTACAATTGATGCTAGTGTAATAGTAGGATTTGTAAACACTTTGCTTTGTTTGAATTAATGGATTGTTGGCAGGTCTTTGCTCCGACGCCCACACAGAGCTCCAGTGATTCCAACCAGTATCCAGCAGTGAAAACCAACCACTTAATTCACTACTTCAGCTACAATTGTTTTCATGTCAAGCCATAATTTGTAGCTTGAATGCAACACATACACACACACACGTAGCTGGGATGTTGTCGTATATTGCTTGGTGTGTGGTTAGTGCATAATTCAGTCAGTATCAAACGCAGCCCCCAGGAGTCAACTTCAAACAAAACAAATGCGAGAAAACAACCGAAGAGTCGCAATCTCTTCAAATTCCCACCGGTTTAGATAAGTGCCAGCGTAGTGTAGATTCTCAGGATTATACAGACTTCATGTTCACCGGATTGAGTCAAGTCAATGTCAATATATGTATCTTATTTTTGATGCAGCACAAACTGTAGGAGACCATCTTCAAATGTACAGTGTAGTGTGGCTATGGTAAACCTGGGTTACCTAGTAAGTAAGTAACTAGTGAGTAATTTTAATTTTTATAGCGCCTTTCACAGACCAGAGTCACAAAGCGATTTACAATTGTTGTTTTTTGGGCATTTGTCTCATTCCACACAAAGATGGGAGCGGGGTCGACATACAGGAGATGCATGCCAGGCCTATTGTACATGCTTTTAGTGGAGGGGGAAACTTGAGCACTAGGGGGAAACCGGAGTACCTGGAGGAAACCTACCAAAACATGGGGAGAACATGCAAACTCCATACAGAAAGGCCTGAAGGTGGAATCAACCTTCTTCACTGTGCCGCCCTAACTGTTTTTGTTTCATACATAACATTATTTGTTATTATAATTATCCCAACAAAAGGTCTTGAAGAAAAACATATGACATTTGCATACCTGTAGGAAAGAGCCCGGTGAGTCACTAATTGACGTCTTAGGCTGAGAGCAGAATGACTGAGTGAGGGTGGTCCTGTCTTTTTCAATTTTTGTCTGATAAAGTTGATCAAAAGCTGTGACAGAGGCCAAAGATACATGCATCTGAAAACTTGCAAATTGTAAATTATGTAAAAAGCGTAAATTATATATTTTATTATATTTAAGGCTTAGGAGGTTCTTCTAATAAGACAAAGAGTGTAAAGAAGATAAATAACTAGATCATTAATTAAGCAGTACAAGATTCTTTACACTTAAAGGTTACACAACCTTCAGAGCCATAACACTTTTAGCAAATGGTTTTAAGAGCAAGGAACTAGTTTGAAAGATTTGATCACTTTTGTTCAATTGTGTGTTTTGAAAGATGGGTACCCCAGCTTTAATCACAATCAGAAAAGAGTAACCGCCATCGCTTTGAGTAACAATAGTTATGCAAATATAGAAAATTAAACAAAAGACAAATTGATTGAATAATCATCCCCATGCCGTTGCTAGAGTAGGAAGTAAATTTGGGCTTTTATGTTCAATTTCCTCGCGAGGCCAATTGGAAACAGAGCTGAAAACCGCTCGCTCATAGCACCCCTTTCAATTGAAATGAAAACGGGAACAAATCAAAGAAAAACACATTGAAAGGAAAATTTCATTACACCTGAAATCACTCCGACGCCAAGTTAAATTTACTGTTCTCAAGAGCTCAATTTGCCTTTCCACTCGATTTTCCATTTCGCCTCATTTTCTACCCTGACGGTGAAACGGCGCACAGCGGGACGTGACGGGTTTGCCAGAAGACATTTTCCAACTCAAAATACAACAATAAAATAAGTCCCGAATAATAAGGGAATCCCCCATTGGCCATTTGTCACAGCCACAGGGAGAGTAGTCATGCTGCCTCCAAAAAAGCTTTGCACCCCGAGACGAACAAAGTGAAGTAGGAAATCAAACATGAAATGACCAGTAGTGACTGCGGTGGGGTTTGCTATTAGGCCCCTGTCCCGTAAGAGTCTGCAAAAAAAAAACCCTACAAAAACATTACCTTGCTCTATTCCTGGACGCCTTTTTGCCCTTGTCGGTCGCTCCAGAGTCCAGGCGAGTCAAGGCGATGGACTCCGCTCTGGTGCAGTGACATTTTACAGTTAATTTAATGTCCTCTGTCTCCTCTGAGGCTCATGGGAGTGTGCAGCGGTGTTATGTAACAGCTCCATTCTGCAGCCTGATTGACTGGAACGCGATTGGATGAACTTGGTTTTGTACTTCCTGGGAGATTTTTGACTATTCTTATTGTGATTTTAGGAGTTGACTAAAACAGACAATTTTGAAGTCTTGTGAGACATCAGGGATACGTAAAGATTGTCAATTTTTTGAATCATGGAAGGTAAAGCCTCCACAGTAAAAGTAAAGTAAAGTACAACTCTAGTAGAACTCAGGGGTGCATGATTGGAAAAGATGAAAATATGCAATCAGATCTTAATCTTGGTTCGATCAATAGTTTTAATATGAATGCATTTTTTGTCATATCTTTAGATCAGCTTTTTCTGTGGTCTGTGGAAAATTGAAAAAGACTGGATCACCCTCACTCAGCCAATCAGCTCTCGGCGTCAAAAAGTGACTCACAAGAATCTTTCTTACAAGTATGCTGTCTGTGTAGAGCATTAGCTTGACTCATGTGTCCCGTGGAAACATTAAAATCATTGTCCAAACTCACAAGCATCAATGACAAAGGGTTTATTCCAGATATAGAAGTTGTCCAGTCATCCAACACAAGACCCCACACCTCCCACAACAAATAGATTTAGGACAAAATCTACAGATGATTTATATAGACAGCATGGTATAGACAGCACTTTTATAGCTCCAGAGATTATTTTATTTCATTTGATTCCATTTTACCTCACTCCACACTCCTCAGGCAGAACCCGGTCAGGCCAACAGCACCGTTTGCTCCCGCCCAGGACACAGCTCAAGACAATGGGGGACAAGGCCTTCGAGGCCGCTGCTCCTCGTCTGTGGAACACCCTCCCGGACCACCTCAGGGCCCCACAGACGGAAGAAGCTTTTAAATATATTATAATTATTATTATCTCATTATTTTTATTCTATCGTCTATTCCCATAATATAGACTGTTTGATTTGTGCATTCTGAAAATGTCCCCACTGTGGGACAAATAAAGGAATATCTTAGCTTATCTTTTCAAAGACCTTTGCTGATGGAACAAGCAACACGTATTATTCATGAAATAAAAAAATAAAATTGGTACCCCAGCTTCCCCCCAGCTAGTTTTCCTTGCTGATGCAGGAGGCCTAAGGACAGTGGTGATGATCCAGGATATTCAACATTCAAAAACATTTATGGACCAATGGCTCTGAGGTTTTTTTTAATCATTGCATTTATTGTGTTTGGACTATTTATTCTCCAGCAAATTCAAAGTCCTCAGAGAAAACTACTGTTGTTATTTAGAGCTATACAAAAACACATTGAATTGCATCTGATTTGATCCCTGTTTAAAACCCATAAGCAGCGTGTGACGGCCGTGTTTACCTATGAGTGAGTTGAGCGAGGAATAGGACGACACGCGCCTCATCTTGTCGATGGTCTCGAACGACAAGATGTACTCGTCGTTGTCGGGGCTCCCCAGGGTGCTGCTGGCGCTGCTGCTCGTGCTTATGTTTCCTGGTGAGAAGGCCCCTTGTCCACCTACGCAGAAAAAAATAAGCGAACCTGTTACAACATCCTTAGCGTTTAGTAAGAGTCGGAAGCATTCAGGAGGAAAAAGAGGTGAGAGCTTATTGGATTAAGGAGGCACTCAAGCTGCAGCTGAAGTGCTGTGTAAATACTTTAAATCATTATTATATAGTAAAAAAAAGAGAAGCACAGTGGAAATGACCAAATCTAATACAAGCACTACTGCAAAGAAAGTCGAGTGCCACATTACTTTTATTTCGGCTGAGAAAACCTGACCAGATATTACTGTGTCTGACTCATTTGGAACACCCTTGGGCGAGCGATTTGGGGCTGAAATGTGAAGATGATGAAATGATTGCGCTGGTAAACACTGGTGCATGATGGGAGTTTGGAGGCAGAGTGACCAGTTTGCGGAAAGGCACCGGTTTGTAAGTCCTCACTGATGCACGACTTGCTCCGTTCAGTGATTTGAATCTGAAGGTGACGACTGTTTACGTGGAGAGCGGTGTGCGAGACGAAACGTTAACTGAGGTTGTGCCTTGAAGCTGATGACTAACATGTTTGTTCAATCCCCAAATGCATAAAAACAACGTACGCATGTTGGTCTGAATCATACCCACTGGAAGGGAACTTGCGTCAATTATTTTCAGTTCACAAAGAGTCAAAAGAACACAATTGACGGGCCATTTAATTGGGTATTGCACGTTGGAGAGATGCCTACTCCTAAAATAAGAAACAAGCATAATTCTCAAAAAAAAAAAAAAAAAACATTTAAATGGGAGCCACATTCACAACCACATACATAATTTAGTCATAAGAAGACAGAAATGACTTGTTAGGATAGCAAAAGGCCCCATATCTTGTTGGTTCTAATAATACAAGAAAAATGAATCCCCTTTTTGAGATCATTCGGGATCATAAAAAATACATATTCAGACTCAAAATCATTTTTATTGCCACTTAAGCAACAAAAGTCACCACATGGAAATTGTTTTGGCAAGTAATCTCTAACACAACACCCTCCCAACAACACGTTTATGGTCTCTGGTCACTGACAGGCAGTTGACGTTTGCATAGGCTCCACTCATTGACCGACTCTCAAACAAGAGCAATAGGTCCGTTTATTAAGTATTTAAGTATTCTTAAAAAAAAATCAATGATGCAGTTAGGCCTATACTGTGTTTGATGTATATACGTATATCAGAAGGTAGTGCGCTTATAAAAGAGTGCAGGTTTGAGGCCAACTAACAAGGAAACAGATTCAGCACCATGGACAGCGCCTGTTGTCTATTGTGCCTTCTCCTCGGTGGGCTGCTCGCTGCTCACACCTTTTAGATTAGTTGCTCAAAACATGTATTCTGTGGTCATCAGATATACTATGCAAATTAGTTAATAGGATTTCATTGACTTGGCAAGGTTTTCATGCAGACTTGAAAAGCTAGGAAACAGCCAACTTATTACAGCAAATCCTGCACACAATCTCTCGCTGATTATATGAATATTTACAGAGTCGCTCCCAGGATTAACAGTAATAAATTGAAAAAGTTAGCTGGAGGACTGCAACATTTACAACCGGCGCAGTGAAAGATCACGGTGAATGTTAAATTCATTGCTTTTATAGAGCCAGTTAAATCTTTTTGGTCTTGGTTCGGCCGTTTGTCAGCCTGTCCGCCGCTGTTTATTTATGCCTGTGTCGACCCCGTGTCCTGCGTCAGTGTTTCTCACCGTCCTCGTTTTGAGTGAGGTTCTGCAGGCTCTTGTTCAGGGTGCGAGCCGTCGTAGCCGCTCGGATGTTGGTGTAGGAATTGACTGATCGCAGACGTGGGCCGGCCGGACTGTCTCTCACTGGTGTCAGGGTTCCAGGTTCTGCACAATAGAAAAATGAACCACTTAAAACTAAGAAAAGAGATTTGTCAACTTCATATACAAAGTACTATTGGAAGTCAAATCAAATCCACAGAATATTTTACATTGAATATGCAAATGTTCCTTCAGAAGTAGTTCTCAGACTATGTTTTTTGTCTATTTCTGGAAATGTTTTGTCTCCTACCGAGTAATACAAGATAATGGCATATTTGTTCTGGCATAAACTGTATTCACGAATGTATTTACAATGTGTAGAGTCCCCATCAAATAAAAGATAATAAATATATAGATAATATTAATATATATAAAAAGGTAATAAATATTGCCTTTGAAAAAAAAAAAATAGTGAATTGTGTAATGCTTTAAAGCCAATCATTCAAACACAGAAAATAAATTGTTCGGGAAACGTTCCTGGTACTTGCAATGGCTTTACAAAGAATTCTGTTTCTGAGTCTGGTAATTAGGGACATATTGAAAAATGTATTTTTCATCGTTCGTTCAACTGGAACTCTAGGTCACAGATTTGCTTTCAACTTTTAGTACAAAAACTGAACACGTAAAGAAGGCTTTTTAAAATATTTTGCATCTCAAAATTGGACAAAATGTTGCAAAATTCTCAAATCACATTTCAGTTAGTTAGTCGTGGAATTTCATAACTCATAAGTGTTTTTGACAGTGTTCTTGTTATGCTTGTTTATGGTATTGTTTTGTGGCATGAGAAAAACTGGTGCTCTTGGACATTTATCAACATTTATGGACATTGGTCATCTGCCACATTGCATTTCTTGTATTTGAACGGTTTTATTCTCTGATTTGGTTAGGCAAATTCAACTACTGTTGTGATTTAGGGCTATAGAAGAATACATGAAATTGAAAGGAGTGAAAGAAATAAATACGTTTAAGTATAGAAGTATAGTTCACGGCATCCCTACAACATAAGCGTCCATGGGCCGACTTGTTCCTGCTCTCGGTGGGCTGGAAATAACCAGACAAGACTGCACTAGGACGAACAATATTACACAGTCTGGAGGTGAATTTTCTTTTCTCTCAACTCACAACCTTATCTTTGTTTATTCTAAAATAGAGAGTGGGTCCACAAGTAACAGAGCCTTAAATTATTCATGCATCTGTGGTTCTTAAACTTTACTTTAAGATAAGACTTATATGTTATAGTATATTATTTGAAAATCCACGTTTATAATGGATTAGGCCATAGCTGATCACAAAGGCAGACTTTTCATTATATTCTTTTAAAATGTACAAATAGGACTTATCCCACTGGAGGTAACACTACAACATCATGTCTGCTCTGTCCTGCCCTGGGTACACACCTGCGGCGTTGGCTGGCGATGACACGGTGTAGTTCTTCTCTTCTTCTATAAACTGCAGAGCCACTGTGCAGAAGTTACTCTCGTACTGAACGACCAGGTGACTCAGCGCGACCACCAGCTCCTGTTCCAGAGAAAATAACCATTCAAAATGGTTTATTTTTATTCTTAGATGAAATTGCTTTTTTGGACACTCAAAGCTGCAACCCATGTCATTATTCTTAGACTCCATACACGGTGGTGATAAACTACTAATGTAACCACAGCTGCCTTGGGCTACACTGACAGAAATGAGGCCACCACCAACCAATCATGCACACACCAGACTCATTCTAGGCAATGTGGGTGAAGTGTCTTGCCTAAGGACACAACAACAGTTTGGCACTTTACAGCCGAAGCTGCCCCACTGTGGCACCTGGCGTCCCCAGAGGTCTTACATCAAAGTCTTAACCAGGCTTTGCCCTGTTTAGCTTCAGAGGTCTGTCAGGATCTGGCTTCCACATGCAGGTATGGCCACACATTTTTTGTTTGCTAAGTCATGCAACTCACTTTACCACTTAAAAATGAGTTTTGACGTTGATATAGTTGCTCATTTAAATGCTATTGTTCACATTCACTTATGACACTTTGTAAAAAGGGTAGGTGAAATAAGCCTTAACTTCAGCCTACTCCTTTTCGGTCTTTCTTTCTGCTGTAATTTACTGTCTAACAATGTGTGAAATGTTCAAGTGACCGAAATAAACTTAATTCATTCAAATGCATTTATTCATTTAACTTTAGTTTAAAAAGAACCAAAAAAACTATAAATATTGTGGACCATGTACCGGAGTCCGCAGACGTCATGTGACCAAACCGTAATGAATCCTTTCCTATATTATTGATGCCTCAATATTAAAAAGAGGAGAGATTGATTTTGAGCACAACATTGCCTTAAGCACAGTATAGTCCCATTTACAATTTAATTTCAAGCTACAAATTATTGGATAATGTTTCTGCAACGCGGATACTTCAAGGACAGTGATGAAGTCAAACCACTTTGAGTGATTCATTCTAAATTTATGTCCTGTCCATTTCTCCATTCGAAGTCTTTTCATCTTAATTATATCAACGCATTTATATTCAGCAGGGAAATTGTTCATTTTGTGTCTGGTTATTTTTTATAATGTCATGCTTTTTGTTATATTATTCTGGAGGGAGAGTTTATAGATGTTAATGTGAACTCAATGCTCCTATGGACATATAACCATTAACCATACAAGGAAAAAGTAATGGAACGTAAGTTATCAATGTTGCAACATCAAAAACAAAGAATAATAAAAAGGGACAATATGTATTAGTTAAATTTTAACTTTTATATGAGCCCCCAGATAATAGGTTGACGTTGAGGTTATGTTGATCACATAACCTAAAGAACAAAAGCTTTTTAAGGGGAGTTATTCTTTCAGATTTTCTAAACCATTATATTCTGTTTCTATCTTTAATGAAGGATGTGACTGAGTGAGCACTGACCTTGCGGACCACTGGGCTGCCGTCGTTGATGAGCTGAGCCAACATCATGGCCACGTTATGGTCGATGGTGGTGGAGTGGTCCGTCCTCTCAGCAGAGTTTCCCACAAACGTCCCGAGGGCAAAGACTGCAGCACACCTCACCTGCAATCACACAGATAACCAAAAAGAATTAAATAAAATTATCATCTTTGATACATATATGCTTTATTGACCAAAAATATGGATACAAACATAATTATAATGTCAAATTCCATCATAATTTTTCTAAACCTGGGCACAAATGTGTATTCACTGTAATAACATAAGATGAGATAAGAAACATTTTATTGATCTCACAACAACATTGTGATGTCAAATGTCACATTTGGCATAGATAGAGTCACTGAGGGTGTGCAAAAAGAAAAGGTTCGCAATTGAAAAGGAGCTCAGTTACACGGAAGGAGCCGCTGCTTCTCCACTTTGAGAGGAGCCAGTTGGAGGTGTCTCAGGCGTCTGTTTTGGACGCCTGCCATGTGAAGTGCTTGGGGTGCAGACCGGGGTCACGTAGGATGGACTATTCCTCCATTGACTTGGGTAAGCTTAAGGATACTCCAGTGTGAGCTGGTGGAAGTGAGCTTGGATTGGGATATGGCGTTGGGATATTGTCTTGTGCAGTCATTTCAGTTGTTACTAGTCCGTTAGTCCAGTTCTCAGGCCTCTGCACTGGCTTCCTGTGGCTCAGAGAATAGACTTTACAAGTGTTTACAAGTCTCTCCATGGCCACAAAGAACATCCATGACATGTTAGTGCCATATGAACCAACTGGGACACTGAGGAGCACATGGACTGGCCTCCACTGGACTAAACATGGGGAGGCAGCGTTTCAGATTTATGCAGGTAAGACCTAGAACAATGTTCCTGAAAATGAGAAACACTCTGGCAGTTTTCAATTCCAGGTTAAAAACGGTTCTGTATAGCTGGGCATACCACTGAATGATTTTATCTTTACTCTTTTTAATGCAATGTCTAAAATAGCTTATGTGTGATTTTAACGTCTTAAGGTTTTTAAATATAAATGTAATTTTATTTTCTATGGTTTTAATAATTCTTGTGATCTTAATGTACATATATATTTATATATATTTTATATATAAATATATTTTAAATATATATATATATATATATATATATATATGTTTATATATTTTTAAAATCATATATTTTAATGCTTGCGTTGACTTTAATGTTTATGATTTATGCCAGATGTGTTGTGGGTTATGAAGCGCTTTGTGTTGCCTTGATTGATTGATACTCTGAAGTACATAGTCATTAGTAAAAATGTCTATCAACATTGTGCTTTAAAAATATCAGTACTCTTAACTACTGCAAAAATATTCCTTATAAACCTTCTCAACAGATAGATAATGCTGTTTAGAAAGGTTTAGAAAGTAATTCAAATCCAGAATACAGGGTATGTTTAGGGCCAAGATGAAAAATCACATATTTCGTATACATAAATAACTAAAATCCCTCGTTAGATTTGAAGCTTTTGATTGCCAATTTACCATCTCCTTCAAAAAGGAGTAATTAAATAGACCCAAGACTGGAAAGGTTACTGTGCTACAAAGTTTGCATACATTCTCATGCTTTTAATTTTTCATTAAAAAGTCTGGCGAGGTCAGTCATTTGCCAAAAGAAATTGTGATCCAAAACCTTTTCGGCTGTAGAATATGATTCTCATTTTGCACAGGGTCACAATATTATGTTTTGTGGGTGATTTAAAAGCACAAAAATGCAAAATAGATTGTTACATATTCATGATTTTAACGTCTATTTATGATATCAATGCGTTGTGTATGAATTGTGCGATCAGTCCCTCATCAGAAAAGCAGACCTGGAGCTGTTTTTGGATCCTTCCACACTAATATCAAGCATACAGTAAATATGTAACTCTGCCCCTTCTGTCTAGAACAGGGGTGGCCAACCCGCGGCTCGTGAGCCGCATGCGGCTCTTTGGCTGGTTCCGTGCGGCTCTCGGGCTTTCACTCGACAAGCGTCAAAAACGCCTCGGTGGTGGCGCTGCCTTTCATTCCATATGTAGTTCTGACCAATAGTAAAGGCCGACTTCACTCCACTAGCCAGGCCGCCAAAACAATCTGACGTCGGCGAACGTCAATTCTGGTTGGTCAGATGCGCTGTCAATCACTCTGCAGCTGCTACCTCAGCTGTAGCAAATATCATAACAAACAACACGTTGCCTCGAACCATGACGTCCGTACGGAAAACAATTCCTTGGTCGCTGGATGAGGGCAACACCTTCCTCAGTTTGAGGAGAGGACACCAGCCTGATCTCGCTGGTTCCACCAGAAACCAGAAGGTGTTTGTGGAGCTAGCACTAAGGACGGAGCAGAATGATTCCCACAAACATGACAATGCAGAGAAAAAAGTTAAAAAGCTTAAAAGTGACAACCGTGAAATGAAAGATCGCAGCAGCAGAAGTAGAGGCAGACCCGAAAAGTCTGGAGGTGGTTTGACCAAATGGATTACATTTACGGACATCGGCTAACACCGGCTAACATGCTAAAACCAGCTAACAACAACTAGCATTACACCAGGAGATAAGCCAACTCTGCCTGGTGAGTGTCTGTCTTCAATCAAATGCAAAAGTATCTGGTCTTATACTGAGCATGTGTCTGTGGTTCTAAATCAGCTAAAGTGGTGTTGGTGTTATGTGTCAAATCTATATCTTTTACTAAAGACAGTTGTGTTTCTGCTGAACACTGGGTTGAAACTTGATTTTTTTTTCTTGGTTAGAGATTGAAAGCATTCATTTCGGAATCATAATTGATGTTCGCTGACGTGAAATTGTTCTGGTATCGACTCGCCCGGTTAGAACCAGGGCCAAACCATTAATAAAAAGTACCGGGGAGCGGCTGAAGCGAGCGGTGGAAGCGCCTGCAAACCAGGGAGAGTCGAGTCCAGCCCTTTAGTACTGTACGAGTCAATTTCTGTCATTATCATGTTGATGACATTTACAATAAATCTGTCTGAGCAGAGCACACCTCTCTCTGCTCAGACAGATTGCATGTGTGTGCGCGTGTCTGCTCGTGTGCGTACAGTACGTGCGCGTGTGCGTGCGTGTGTAAGGGTTGGGGTGATGTTTATGTAGTGCACATTTGTATGATGTGGCTCTTTGCTGTAACACAGTAAAAAAAATTGGCTCTTAGTCTCTGACTGGTTGGCCACCCCTGGTCTAGAATGTTCTATCTCAGTCCTGTAACAGTATGATGTCATTGTACCTCTATGACATCACACAACCGTTTCCTGGATGTTAAAAAAAAGCACTATTTCCCTTACCCTATAAAACAGTTATGGCATTTTCTCAAGTGAAATAATGTTCTTAACAAACAGCAATTTTTCCAATTTGAAATTAAAGAAATAGAATTGATTTAATTCCTCCCTCTGGTGGCAGCATAGGGAGTTACAGGTAAGAACGCATGTTTTACCCTATTTGTTTCACCATATATTTTCTACTTATACATGTGAAGAATTTGTCTGCATTGTTTCCCATTTGGAAACATGAAACAACACATTTAAATCGACAAAAGTAATTCAGTACAAGAGTACAAGAGTGTTTACCCAAGTTGTAAAAATCAGTTTCTGCAGTGGTTGTTGAAAGCGAGACAAAAGCAAAGGGTTATAATTTTGGTCAATAATAAAAATCAGCATTTAGCTCTTTTCTGAAAACTCAAATATTTCCTTTCTGCGTGTATCGGACTGTTTTATGAGACGGTAAAGCCAATAAATGTTCACCCGTGTATCTTATTGCGCTGGAGATGATCACAGCAGTGCGCACCGGTGAGCTGTTATTTGGCCAGTCTAACTTATTACTTTTTGGAGCGCATGGCTGAATGTCTAATCCTAAAACTTGCTGTGTCTCTGGCGGTGTTTTCGTCGGGGAATTGGAAGCGCAAAATGAACAAAATTACTGTGGAAAAAATGATTATTTGCCGTGCGGCGTTTGTTGCCAGTGGGATGGAGCTGGATGCATAAAACCAGTTTTTAATCCTGCCACGGTACACAGATGTCGCTTTGATATAGTTGGATTCAGTTTGATGATTGCGTTCAGAACAAACATTGTAGATGCATATGAGAAAAACACAATTTGACTCAATTTCCAGCTTGTAATTGCCTTTTTATACTGCGGTTTTTGTAATGTAGTTGAGGCATTAAATATTTACGAGCAAAGCAATTATGTTTACAACAATCCTTCATCTTTGAGCTCAGGTTTAACTTCAGTTTAACTTAATCTTGGCCCGGTGGGTAGCATTTGTGCGTCACATAACAAAAAGGTCGAGGGTTCAATTCCACCTCCGGACGAGGCCTTTCTGTTTGAAGTTTGCATGTTCTCTTGGTTACAGCGCAAGTTTCCTCAGGGTGCTCCGGTTTCCCCTACCACTAAAAACATGTACAATAGGCTTGGATGTAATGAGAGAGTGAATGGATGGTGACGGTTGGAGGCTTTTCATGCGTCATTGTGTTTGGTGTTTCGGGTGGATAAATAAAGAATGCTTACTTAAATGAATCACTGCAAAATTATTACACCTACACACATACATAGAGTACCAAAATACTTAAATGTATTAAAAAGGTAATGTGTACAAAAATAATAGGTTGGCATCTCTATTTCACAGTCATCATTGCACTTAGTCACCTTTTGCTAGCGAACGGCAAATGTGTGTTGGATCGCAGAGCCCAGTTAGCAGCTAAAGCCAGACCTTTGTGATTTTATTTATTAATGGTGCCACCCTTTCATTGCTAGTTTCTCCATAAAGGTAGGGCACATTTGACTCTTGACTATTTTCTAAGTATTATATGCTTTGGGGCAACAGTGGCTCAGTTGGTAGAGCATTGGCCTTTGGGCCTGAAGGTCGTGGATTCGAGCCCAATACGAGACCTACTTCATGACGCCCACTGAGGACTGCTGTTGTCGTGTCCATGGGCAAGACACTATTCCCCACTTTGCCTGAAGCCCCACTGAAAGATCAAGGCTGCTGTAGACTCACCACCTGCAGGAGGATCAGTGAGGGGCTGGTGCTCTGTGTACTGGGTGCAGCTCTGACTGCCACCCCCCCGACCCAGAAATGGATTAAGGGGAAGAAAATGGATGGATGGATGGATATTGTTTTGGAGTGCTAATGTCATTGATGTACTGACCTCTATGGTTCTTATTTGTAGTCTTGAGGTAATTTTGGAAATGTGAGGTCCAATAAAAGAAGGTAAAGATGCACATCTATATTTTCACAGAAAGCGCCGCAGGCCGAAACGTATACATTCAAAGTGCATTGAAGAGAGAGACCAAGTCCAGACTCTTTCTTCCACAAAGGTAAAGACCTGCTGCTCCACTACACACTGCTGCTGACTGTGAGGAGCAGAGTTCTTGTCCTCAACGATTATTATCACCAATCATTGTTTGTACTCTGTGTCTTTAGTCTGAGTGTGTGGGTTGTACAGAATCCTGCAAAAACAAGGGTGTCATCAGGCTGCGTCCCAAAAGATTTCTGTTTAAATTCAATTACACTTTTTGCTTAGTCGCCGTCTGTGCCTCTGCTCAACAACTCATCACTATTTTAATGACTTGGGGCTATGGACCAATCAAACACACATTGATGGAGGTCAGAGAGAGATCATCAGAGAGAGATCATCATAAAGAGTTTTGACGATCCCACTGCTTTCTTTAAATGTGTGTGTACTCGAGAACAAAGCGATTCTATTGTTTTGTATTTCAGTTTAAGGCCATTTAATAAAAACAGCTATGGGATGTTTCCAAGACAACGGTTTCCATGAAGTCGCCTGGAGGTTTGAGTTCAGGTCTCCGGCACAGCGACACACGTGCACACACACACGCACACGCACACGCACGCACACGCATGAAGTGAATCTCTGAGCAGCGGTGTTACAGACTGTGAACAGAGTTTGCAAAGGCAAGCTAAATACTAGTCAATCCTTATAAGACTCAGATTCAGATTCAGATTCATTTATTTGCCATTTGCAGTAAAACCACATTGGAAAAACTTTGCAAGACTACCCCGGTGTGCACCTGGACTCATATCAAAATATAAACACACACAGAGAGCGATGAAAAACCAGGATTTTTAAGCACAGAATGGTAAGAGAAAAACAGTGACTGAGCTAAAGGACGTCATATTTCAATGCAAGTCAATAGAAGCCAGAGTGAGTTGGAGAAAAAAAAAGTTGTTCATGAGCTCTTCCCTATTGGGTTAGCAGAGTCTGTCTATATAGAGCCAAATTTAACATTTTTGGGTAAGACATATAAGTGTGGTATAAAAGTCTTTTGACAAATTAACTGTTTTTGAAATGTGTTTGGATATTGTTTTCTAGTAGGATTGGATTCAATCACAACTTGGCCAAATATCAACAAGAGATGTATTGGAAGACTGACAGTTAAAACAAATAACAATTAAGTAACTCACTTCCAATTACATTTTAGAACAGATACAGGTAAATGGTTGTTTTCATGAGACAATAGGCTTTATAATTAAGTAAAACATGCCATCGTAACCCCTTACCATCAATGCTGCAAGTTACTGCAATAGGGATAGTTGGAAATCATTTCAGGGGCCACTAAAATGGTCTCAGGCCAAACATGTCAAACTCAGGCCCCTGGGCCAAATCCCGGGGGGCCTGAGTTTGACATGCCTGGTCTACGCCATTTACCTGTGGGCCATTGTGAGCCCTTTCCTGCTGCGTTCATGTTATACTTCATGTATTGTTCATTATGTGCATATTGCAGTGTCTTTACCTCGGGGATGGGGTCTGACAGCAGCGTGTAGAGCTTCTCGTGGGCACTGTCCCGTACACCGCACCATCGCGCAGGCTCAAAGTTCTGCCAGATTCGCCCTAAACAAATGGCCACCCACTGGCGCAGCAGAGGGTGAGGGTCAGACAGCTGCTCCAGGCAGTTGGCGATGAGATTACCCTGAAGACAGGCCTCCTAAGCAAGAACAAAAAACACAGGGACGTGAGAAGGAGTTTATAGAAAGTGAAATGAAAGAGCAAAATGTAAATGAACCAATGAGCAAATCTGACAATTAGACCAAACAACACTTTTTTGGGGTAAGATATTCCACTCATGGTCATTATCTAGGGAAACAAATGAAACCAATTTAACATGTAAAATGCATAAATAGTTTTCAAAAGTTCGTGAAAATGTAGAAAAAACATAAAACGATGGAAAAATGGAGCAAGAGAATACACAACTACAACCATTAAGTGGTAGAAGTTGAGAAAGAAAGATGTTAAAAGCTCAACAAAAAGATACAACATCAAGACCAATCTAATTTTTGCCGGTTTATGTCAGAGGTTGCTGATATTAGTCTGGATAGGGACAAACGACTCCAGGTTTGTGATGATGGAACAATGTTGTAAGGTGATTAAATGACTAAAACCTGTAATGATTGTTCTGTTTTACTTGGAATAATAATGCCATCCAGTCCAACAAGGTTAATTTGGTCTTCTGAAATATTTTTTCATCTACGAACACTGTAAAAGATGGAGCCACATTATGAACTAGGACTTAACAAATATCATAGGGGCTAAGGACAACAAACACAGACGCTGGATTAAAGAACCATCAGAAATACAGAGAGGTTCCCCCAGAACTATAAACCGGGATGAAGGGGGCTTTTTTACTCTCACACACCTCCCATTCTGTCCTATAGAAGTCGGACTGCAGATGGCGCTGTCGACCTGCCTCTGGTGGTAGGAAGACAGCGCCAAAAGTGTGTAAAACAGCTTGACCACATGGGCGGCACGGTGGCTGAGTGGATAGCACTCTCGCCTCTCAGCAAGAAGGTCCTGGGTTCGAATCCCGGTCGGACCAGGGCCTTTCGGAGTGGAGTTTGCATGTTCTCCCCGTGTCTGCGTAGGTTTCCTCCGGGTACTCCGGTTTCCCCTACCACTAAAAATATGTACAATAGGTCTGGCATGCGCCTCCTGTACTGGCGACCCCGCTCCCATCTCTGTGTGGAGTGAGAGGACAGATGCCCAAAAAAATAACCATTGTAAACCGCTTTGTGACTCTGGTCTGTGAAAGGCGGTATATAAATAAACATTACTTACTTACTTACTTACCACTGTCTGGTACAAAAAAAACACTGGTCTTAAAAAAATTAATTAAAATCAACTTGCATTTTCTTCTTTACCTGTTGCAGCAGTCACAGAGGCAGTACCTAATGTAATGCTGCCGTACTAATGATGAAACTACCAATTGAATCATACTGCAATGGATGATGGGTTTATTTAAGCAGAGAAGGTCACGGGGAGAGCAGTGATTCAGCTGGTGCCATGCGTTTCTCGTCGGCTTTTCTTGGTTGGGCCTCAATAACACCTTTATAATATCTGCATCGCATCTCAGATCAGCACTAAAGCTTCAGGTCAGGGCCGACACTCATTAGCCGGTTAATGAGGACTAACCGGAAACCCGAGCAGAGATTAGGAGCTCAGCAACAGCCAGAGCCGTTTCAAAACCCACCAGCACTTTCCAATTATACAAGTAACAAAAGGGACCGGTCGATGAGGGCTGAACCAGAGACATGGATGCTTCATATCTGTTCTGGTTTGGTAGATTGGAATCGTTTGAAATGAATTACATTAAAAAAAACTAATCAAAACTAATCAGTTATACACCATTGAAATCACAATTATTTTCAAAATGTGTATTTTTTATTTTGTATCTTGTTAAAGATACAAAATTGAAAAATTTGATTACAGGTAGAGTTGAGCCATATTGACAACAGGTCATGTTTTGCTATGATTTGACAATCTCCTTAACACTGTTATTAAAGTATTCTAATTTGAGTCAACATTTTAGAAGATATTCTAAAATGGATGTTTCACTATCAGTGGAATTTCTCACACTCATGAAAGTCCTAATAAAAACAATATTCTTTATATTTTTTACCATTAATTGTATTGAATTATTGAGGGGTGAGTCAAGTGTGCATTTGCTTCATCCAACAGGGTGAAAATGTTTATTCTGTATCCTGTACATTACGTATTTTCTTAGTGTGAAATATGTATACAAGGGTTTGAAACATCCATCCATCCATTTTCTTCCGCTTGATCCGTTGCCGGGTCGCGGGGGCAACAGTCTAAGCAGAGACGCCCTGACTTCCCTATCCACACACACTTCCTCCAGCTCGTCCGGGGGGACCCCTAGACGTTCCCAGGCCAGCTGAGAGACGTACAGTAGTCCCACCCGGCGTGTCCTGGGTCGCCCCCGGGGCCTCCTCACCCTATCCCCTAAGGTAGCGCCCTGCCACTCTGCGGAGTGGCTCGACCGCTTGTATCCGCAATCTCGTTCTTTCGGTCATTACCCAAAGTTCATGACCATAGGTGAGGGAGGGAACGAAGATTGACCGGTAAATCGAGAGCTTTGCCTTTCGGCTCAGCTCCTTCTTCACCACAACGGTCCGATACAGCGACCGCATAACTGCGCACGCTGCACCGATCCGCCTGTCAATCTCACGCTCCATCCTTCCCTCACTCGTGAACAAGACCCCGAGATACTTGAACTCCTCCACTTGAGGAAGGACCTTGAGGAAAAAAAAAAAAAAAAAAAAAGTGTGGTAATGTGTTTGATTGAAGAAAGTAATAAGATAAGCATTCTTATTTTAGCTATTTGTAAGGGGAACAGGCAGATGGGCGTAGTTCATATGTTTGCGTGCTGAAAGAAATCTGAAAATACACCGGAACTAATTATCAATGAGCAACACTTTGTTATGACACATGAAAAACATGGAATAATCTGTGAAAAATATTATTGCAACCAACTTAGTCAGACCGGAGGTAGATATGATACCAAGAAAAACTCAAAGCAAATGTTCAGCTTATGATCAGGAAATACAGTTTTAGTGTCGAGAAGTTAAGACAAAAAGGGGGATTTCTCTAGTTCAGAATGTTAACAGTGGACTAAATTATTGTATTCATAACTTAAACATAACACAAAGACGTATAGTTTTCACTTCATAGAAAAAGCAGATCATTGGTAGAAAGTGAAGCTTTAACGTAAGTGGACAACACAAAGTAACACAAATTTGTACATAATAATGTTGAAAAAACAGGTAATACAAAAAAAAGTTCAAGTTCAAAGTAAAAAAAAAAATCCAGGTAGAACTTTTTATTTATCTTTAAGTATTTCTAAAAAAAATGTTCATGGAGTCATTGCGAAAAAAAAGCCTATTCATATAGTTTTGGATAACATGAATTCATGAAAAATCTACTTTTAGGGCCTAAAATGTTTTTTCCTGGACTTCTACAGGGGATATTACAGGAATAATATAATAAGGTAAAGCTACTTTGAGGAGCTAATTCCTTAGGGTTAGGGTTATAAAATAAATAAATAACATTTTAGAATTTACTTTACATCAAAGTGAAATCCCATTGACTATGCAAATAAGTGCTTCCAGAGGGAAAGATGATTTGTTTTAGAAAATGCAGACATGAACCCAAATGATTTCATTGTACCTGTTTTTGTGTTTATTGGGATTACCTCCAAACATCATTCAAGCATCACAAGCATCTGTCAAGTGGGTTATAAACCCATATGGATTTACACGTCTTTCATCAACAATGACAACAGTGATCTCCTGCGCCGTCGCTCCTCACTCGAACTAAGACTTTGATCGTACGTTTGCACCGTAATCCAAAAGAGAAACGTGGAATGAAACCGGATTACTAAAACGCCTGTGCGCAGTGACATGTTTGAGGGAATGATGATACTGTAATGAGAGGAGTGTTGTAATGGCAAAAATTACATGAACATGGTTTGAGCATAGTGGGTGAATTGTGATGGTTAATAAATGGTTCAGAGGGATTTGTTTTATGGCAGGAAGGTATTTGGGATGATGTTTGAGTAAGTTAAGATGCAGTTTGTTCGTGGGTTTAGTTATTTGACAGTGATTGACCGTCTCCTTTGATGTGACTGTTTCTCTTATCTCTGTGGATTGGTTCCTGTTCCTGTGTCCTCTGCCCCTGCCCCCTCGACCATACATACACATACACTGGTGAAAAATTACTGTAGCCACACCTGGGGCACACTGACAGAAGCGAGGCAACCAGTACCGCTCCTTTGACCCCCACCAGCCATTCACACACACACCAGACTCATTCTAGGTAATGTGGGTGAAGTGTCTTGCCTAAGGACACCACAACAGTTTGGCCCTTTACAGCTGCTCCACTGTGGCCCCTGGTGTTCCCAGAGCCCTGCCCTGCACAGGTTCAGAGGTCTGGCGGGATCTGGCTTTCGTTATGTTGGGAAAGCATTTATTATTTACAAACCAGAGAGGATTGGAGAGGCCGAGAAGGACAGAAGGGAGGACAATTCAGGTGGGATCATGAGCACAAAGAGATGGAAGCGGAATGACCTCTACTGTACTCGCTGTATGTAATACTTTTGTAGATTTGTATTAATTTTAAGATGATATATTCAGTCAGATACTTTAACCCTGTTGTATTTTTCCAATCTCATTCACCCACTTCTTGGAGAGAGTGGTGGACTGGAAGCAACATAGATGTGATGCAGAAAAAAAGGTTATACCAGTTTGGGGTTTCACAGGATTGCTAAATACTGATGATTAAAACTATACAATAAATATTTAAGTAAAAAATATTCAAATATTTTTATCAGCCTATAATTCCTTCATCAATTTCCTTGTAAAATAGAAAACATGTTTGCATTTTTCTATGTGTTTTTTTTTTTTTTTTGAAAATAATGTTCCCAATGCACCAAAAAAAAAAAAAAAATACATGTTTGAGAGAAGGACTTGCATTAGGGACACTTTGCATTTCAATTAAACTTTTAAGGACATTTATGCGCCTTTACTAATATTCATGGACATCCTGCTCCCTATAGACAAAATGTGTTTGTTATTATTGCATTTCCTGAATTTGAATTGAACTGAACGTTGTTTTTGTGCATGAGACATTACCTTACACGCCATAGTTCCTTCAGGCCAAAGCACGGTACGTCTTCTTTAAATATAGCACATGTCTTGGGTAAATAGTAGGTGTAGGAGAATACGAGAAGAAATATGACAACGTTACATCACTACACGCCGCCTGCACTCCTCTGTACATTTGATCAGAAGGGCTTGTGGGATTGAAAAGCAGAGACTGGGGGACTGGTGATACCATTTGTGATAAAGTGTCAAGGTGCCGCCGGCTGGAACAGCGATTATAAAGGTGAGTGTTGGTGACATAACCAATATCTGCCACAAATACACAGAGGGCACGACTGTCATCTCTCAAAGTGACACCGGGCCCCCGAAGCCCCCGACACACGAGCGCGGAGTAGATTGATAATTTGGTAAGTTCGGCTTCTATGTGTCTTTTATAACCGAACATGTCTTTACGTGAGTCTCACCTGCCCCGTGGTGTAGCTGTTGACGATTACGGCGAGGATGAAGACAGCCATGGTCCGATGCTCTGCCTTTGAAAACAAAAGGGATTTCCATGTATTAATAGCCTGTCTGGGATAAACTCCATTGTTTATGTTGTGAGTTGTACTAGGACAAATGTAATTTCAATGACAAGACTTACTACAGGTGAAACCAATTCAAGCTTAAAGGGGACATAACAAGAAAACTTGACTTCCTTGTGCTACCCTTAGGCCAAAATGACCCGCCACAGATGATTAAAAGTAGAAGAAAAATACCCTAAATTAGGGTCTAAATGATCCAGGGCTGGTCAAGTTACAAGAAGTCAAAAGTCAAAGTGGCATTTTTTTTTAAATTTAGGGCATTGTTTTTAATCATTGTGGCGGGTCAACTTGACCCAAGGGTAGCACAAGGGTTTAGACCATATTACAGCTGTTTTCTTATGTCACTATATACATTATTAACCCCCTAGGCTCATTAAAGACCAATAGGGAAGTGCTAATGCAGGAAGTTTTGCTCTGACTCGTGCTGCTTCCTATTGACTTATATTGAAAAGTAAACTCCTGTAGCTCAGTAACCGTTTATGTCACTCTCACCATTTTGGGCTTCACAAATCTGTGGTTTAATGCTCTTTATGATCCTAGGTTATTTATTTTATGTTGTCTTTGTAAGTCCAGATATGAGGAATCTAGATTCCTTCATTCTCGGGTCAAACTCCAGCTTGCTGTCTTCATCTCATTAGAAAATATTGTATCTTCATAATTCTTTATGAGCCATGTGAGACTCCATTTGACGCTTTAAGCTGATTGGCCGATTAGCGGTGGTCCTCTCTTTTTTTACTTTTCTATGTGATTATGCAGATCTAAAGATGTGACAGAGGCCAAAAATACATGCTTTTGAAAACGAATGATGGAACCAAAGTGTTTCAGAGCGAGGAACTAGTCGTAGTAGTGGATTTTACTTCAGTTACCCCAGCTTTACCTTTCTTCAGTGATCCACCGTAGACCTACATTCGCTACATTTGGTTGCGTACAGAATATCCATATCACAACATTTACTCAGAAGTAAAGGTAAATCTCTTGCTCACCGGCATATAATTATCAGCCAGAACCGAGAGGAAGTACTTGTGGCCGTTGTCTTTGACCAGATCGGCTTGACACGACTGCAAAAAGAGAGAAAAGAGCAGAGGAGAGGGTTCAGGTTCTGGGTAAATAGTTTTTTTTTTTTTTCAGGTTGCAGTGAGAAAGTGCTGGAGCTCCTCTGACAGCTCTCGCACTTTCTTCAAAGGCAGTTTCTTCAAGCCGTGCATCAAGCTGAGAGCACAATGGAGAGACAGAGGGAGGGAAAACCAAACACTGCTAATTACACGGAGCACATGGAAAACTGTGGGGGGATTTCGTACCGAGAATCACAGAGTGTGTTTGGCAGGATTGGGACTTTTCCATTGATTTAAGTGTGTATCATTTTGGAATTTGAAGGGACAAGAAGACACATTTTCAAAGCAAATGTCAAGTGTGTAGCCACATTCTATGACATGCTTACTTTTCATTATCGTCGCGTTTTCGGCAACTACTAAATACTTTTAAAATTCCAATCAAAACATGCCTAAAAATACAAAGAAAAAAATTCAAGACATATGCACTTACGTCAAAGAATTTTGCGAAGGCTAAAAATAACAGCTTAATATAACGCTTTCATCACGTTGTTTAATTAATATCACAACTTTATATGAAGACAAATGCGTAACCACCTTAAAATGAATTATTAATCATTATCAGAGCATGAATGAATCACTGATCGAAAGATATCTCAGTAGGGTGATGCCGATTTGGGATTGATTTAATAATAAAAAAATAATCATAATATATATATATTTATATGTACTGCAACTTACATTTCCGGGAAAAAAGTGCTACGGATAAAAAATTATAAAAACAAAAACTAAACCCTCAAAAGTACGAAATATATATAAATATATTGTACTTTTGATTTGGTGAGACTCACGTTGCATTTCTTGTATTAAAAGCACATTATAAATGACATGTGATCGATTGATAGATTGATATGTGTAATGCATTAAAAAAGATTAGAAAGGATAAAGGAGGAATTGAGAAAGAATTACATCAAAGTAAAACTCGAAAAAACCATCGTATTAATAAAGACATGATAATTAAGTAATATTCATTCAATATCTAAATCTTGGAAAGTAATCCACTCGACATATGGTTTGGCAAACTCTACAATTAGGTCAGAACTCTAATAAAACATTCAGAGCAAACAGGAAATAACATGGGTAGAACATATAGTATGCACTTTACTCCACTCTGCTGCAGCTGCTAAAGCGGGTCTTTGAAAGAAAATCATAAAGAGTGACGTCAATGAGTGGTTTACACGACTTACACTGTCCACGGCCAGGATTTTAGCCCAGATGAAAACCAGAAGCGGCCGGAGCTCCCGCGCGGAGCTCTGGAGCAGTTTGAGCACGTACGGGAAGATCCCCACGGACAACGCCTGGAACGCACACACACACACGAGCTGGTAAATGTCGGCACGTCATGAATACTGCATCTCATAAATATGCCCAATTCATGAACGTACGCTACAGCAGTGTACAGTAGAGTTAGTGTGCCTTGAGATGTTGTTTGGTGCACTGCAAAAAGTGAAAATATAGACTTGATTTCCGTGCATTTATCAAATCGCACCGCTTTTTTGGTTGTTCACTTTTTTACTCATAAAGGCTGAAGATGCTTAAGATAATATTACTTGTCCGGAAAAAAAATTCCGCCAATAATTGACAAGTACATTTCCTCTAATAGTAGCTGTTTTTTCGGACTGCCTGTCAGAGTTTAATTTTTGTATTAGTTTCAGCTTGTGGTGTGCTATGAAAAATGTGAATTTATTTGAAAGGCATTGAAACATTTGTATCTGGCTTTCACATGCAGGTAGAGTAATAATCACTGGTGAGCATATAATGATTAATTTCATTTGATGGCGCCTCTCCAGACACTCAAGGATGTCTTACAATAGATTAAAGACATCACAATCTATATCATAAATTCAGAATAGATAGTGATAGAAAGGAATTGGCAAATAAAAAAGGTAAGTTTTGAGATACGATTTGAAAATGTCTAGTGAGTCCAACTGTCGCAAATTCGGTACATGTACAGCCATTTTTTCCCTTGATAATCACTGATTGGACGAGCACACTGGCTTGGGACTGGTGGATGTGCGTGCCTTTGACTACAAACTGTATTTAATGTAAAAAAAAACATACAGATTTGTATCTTTCTAGGGACTAAAATTTGCAAAACTGTCATTTTTCTTTGGGATCAAATAAAGTGTCCATGGGTGCAGCAGAATCTTATTGGTATGGGCTACACAGTGGCTGAGTGGATAACTAAACTTTGAGTGGAGTTTGCATTTTCTCCCCGTGTCTGCTTGGGCTTCCTTAAGCTGCTCCGGTTCCCACTACTACTAAAAAAATATGCACGATAGGTAACATCTTCCAGCTCCCGTAGCCCTGACCAAGCAGAGTATCAACATTTGGCTCAAGATAGAGGCCCTAATGGCATTTGCAGGATGGGTCAAATGCAGAGGACAAAGTTTCCTACGGGGATAAATGAAGTATACATGTATTACAGATTATTGTAGACTTATTGATAGGAATACGGTCAACGAATGTATTTGAAAATAAAAGAATATCTGCCAATTTCCAATTCAAGTCCCAATTGAAACAAGGGTTGTGCTGTATTACGGCCACAGACCATTTAGCAGCTGATAACCATGACTTGGACACCTGCGTTCGCCGCCTGCTCAATTCTACCGGTTAAACAAAACTTACACAAGCGCATTAATCATTGCAACATATGTGCTGCATTGTTTTTCTCTGTTTCAATGTATTTTCGAAACAACTGTTGGTGACAAAGCTCTGGGCATTTCAAAGTTTGTTTTCCAGAACGAATCTCCCTTCTTGTTTCGTGTAATCAAACGGAGCGTAATTGGACTGTGGCGAATGGAAGGAGAGACTAGAGACAGCAGATGCGGATCTCATCTCACCAGACTGACAGCCCATGGCCCCAGGTCCAGGAACTTCCCCAGAAGATCCAGAGCCCGCAGTCTGTGCACTTGACTCAACAGCACCTGCAGAAGGAAAGAAGCAAATTAAAAATGGTTTCCCCCCATATTTATGTAGAACGTAGGGCTGGGCGATATGGCTGAAAACTATATCACGATATAAGTCATTCATATCGGTCGATAACGATATATAGAGTTTTTTTTTTTTACCTAAATAAATATATTTGTCGTGTGGGCTAACCAACCTTAGCAGCCTTGTTTACAGTCACAGGGCGATGAGGCTGGAGGAATATGTTCACACTGTGTCCCTCGTTGTTAGTCCTGGTTTAATCCTGGTTTTTTATTCCTGGTTTAGCTCCTGGTTTAGCTGTTTGAGGGTCTTGTGTCCCCGTGACCGCTCCGTGCGGCTCTCTGTGCCGCACATGCTTCCCGAGGAAAAAGTTAATCTCTTGCTTTCGCCGAATACATCGGGTCTGTCCACTGCCTCTGCCGCCGCACATGTTATTCCGCGCACGTACGTGCATAACCATTGACACGGCATTGAAACACGAGCTATAGATCCATGGACGCTACGTATGGTGCGGTTGTTGGTGTTTTTGCATTTCCCAGAAAGTTTTGCGGTTCCTGCTCGGCTGTTATTGGTCGAGAAGCCTCTGCCTACATCCCCCACAATGCCATGCGCTTATGAGTCTGCTTTACTTCCGGTGTTTTCTTCCTGTTTTTCCTGACGGAGTTAAGTTAAACTATCGAACATTCTATCGACCCCATTCTCTATTGATATCGAACACATGTCTATCGCGATATATATCGTTATCGTTTTATCGCCCAGCCCTAGTAGAACGAAAGACAAAAAATACAAACCGCAATATTCACTCAGAAAAAAGACAGCCCCTTATACTCTCTGACCCTACACCTCTCCCCCATCACTTGCTCAATGCTCACTCCCTTTCCTCCATGTACTTGTGTAAATATATAAGATGGATATATAAAGAAGGAAAGAGATGAATATATGAAGACATAGACATGAAAAGTGCAACCGCAAAAATGGCAGTATGAGTAACAAAGTAGGGCACAACTTTGACTAATGTTGTCAACCTGAAACTACAGATATTTACCTGTTGAGAAAAACACGGCAATGTTGAATGTGTAAAAATATAAGTGACTTTGATTTTCATAAACCATGCAGGTGTCATATCTAAACTGAGCAAAAAGTTTTTTATATCTGCTTTTTGGAACCTACTGTACATTATTACTGCCTGTCTTTGAGTACTGGCTGCGGGTCATTCATGCATTATGAATAATTTTCAGTTTGTATGTCTGACCCCTGATGTCATATCCTCCACCACTAATACATACTTTGCTAAAGCTTTGGCTTCTAACGTTCGTGGTACTAGTAATCCCTGCAACAATAGGGAGAGCATTACCACAGAAGAATGATAACAATTAACCCAATGATCTTTTTAGGAGGCTGTATGACAACACAAGAACACATCAACAATATTTACTTACATAAAGATCCACTTAAGTTAGCATAACAGTCAAGAAAGCTACAATAACGATCAGCATTCGCTCACCACAGGCGTATCATCATGTGCCCAATCCCTTGTACTAGTCACGCTACAGGTTTCATCCCTACTGCAGTCTGACGTCACTTTCTCTCCCCCGCCTCATATCCGAGTCGGAGGTAACCCGGGGCAGGTCTTCCCTTTGGCTGTCCCCTGAAAATGTCACGCTCCTGGGGCCAAGTCACGCTAGTGCTGCATGACGTGCGAAGATCGACCAGGGCTTTCCCATATGCTTGTTCCATCCACGCATACACCAACTCATAGTGTCACTTCACACTGGCTTTGTCCTACCGTCTGTTCAATGTAGCGTTAACAACACGCATATACATAGCACTTAGCACAAACTAGAAATAGCCTCCGATGCAAGATCTAAGTGTTGGCACGACTGCGATACTAGCCGCACAACACATGCTGGGAGAATAGCTAAACCGGTATTGGAGGCACAAAGCCAGTGGTAAAGATCAGCCAAAATGACACACCCTTTCACCCACTACAAATACAAGGGTTGCCAGGTCAGGGCAGCCACCTGCTTCCTGCTCAAAATCTTCTCTTGCTTCCATTAAATTGAAAATGTTTTTTATATGTATTTGATTACAGTTTGAGTTGGTTTGTTCCAATGATAATTATGGGTCTATGGCTCGTGTGTTTATGGCGTCTATGGCGACAGTGGCTCAGTGGTTAGAGCATTGGCCTTCTCCACCGACTCCCACGCTGTCGTTGTGTCCTTGAGCAAGACACTTAACCCCACTTTGCCTGAAACCCCGCTGAAAGATCAAGGCTTTGCCATAGAGCAGCCGTCCTCCTGTGGACTCACCACCTGCAGGAGAATCAGTGAGGGGCTGGTGCTGTGTGTACTCCCCCAACCCAGAAATGGATTAAGGGGTAGAAAATGGATGGATGGATGGCTAGTGTGTTTCTTTCTCAAAACTACTCAAATAACCGTCTTTGTTCCATCTTAATGTACATACATACTGTGGGCCTTTTTAACTAGTACCTTTTGGCCCTGATTCACTTTGCTTGATGGAACTAAGCTTTTCCATTTGCCCCTCAGACCAAGGACTTTTTTTTTAGCTCCTGCTCTTCCTTCGGTGAAGTGGGGCCAAGTTGAAGCGAGCAGAAAGCAATTCATTATTTTCCACATGAGAACAAAGGGAATCCTAAAGATGAGGTGGTCCACACGAAAACAAAAAGAGCTTACTGCTTATTTGCTACAACACAACATATAATATTTCTGCTAAAGCTAGCATACATAGGGTCAGATGTTTTGAGACAAAAACCTATTCAGACAATTGTGTAAAATCAGCTTAATTACCACTGGTGAAAGCTACACACTTTTAATCCACAGAGTCTGTTGCAAATACAGCTTGCTTCACTTTTCAAACGGTCAATGGTCACAATTTTATTGCACTCAAAGTGCTTCACATGAAGGAACCATTCAACCATTCACCCACACACACATTCATACACCAGTGAGTGCAAACACTTGGGGTGATGTGGGGTGAAGTGTCTTGCCCAAGGACACACTGCAGCAGTTGCTCAAACTGACCGCTCAATCATTTAAATTTCAGGAGCAGGATTCAATTCACCAAAATCCAGGTAAAACGCCACAGGCTCTACCAACTGAGCTTCAGTCGTGAAAAGCGTGGCTAAAATCATAGATTTAGTGAGGTCTACGTCAACTGGCCTCCTACACGAGTCATGAGCCAGGCAGTCAATGTCTACACTTGTCCAGATGCGGATCAAGAATAAGATGGACCTCCTGACCACTGGAAATGCTGACGTCAAAACAGTGGTTCCTATTGGATGCGGAGACTGTCCTAATTATAAAGGAGACACAAATACACAATAAATAAACAATAATTGTATTTTACAGAGATGCTGCCCAAACTTTACCGGCCCCTGCATTAAAGACTTCCTTCAACTAAGTATCCAGTCTGATATTCCTTGCATCGTTGATTCTTTGCCTATGCTACTCTCCATCTTGGGTCTTACAGGCAAAACACGCATTTTTGGTTAATTCAGGACCATGCCTTCACTCATTTCGGCAAGATATATATTAGTCTTTTTGAACAGGATAGTTCAAAAAGACTGTATTAATTAACAGATAATGCTGTAAGTACTCTGGATATTTAGTTTACATCTGTATAAATAAAAAAAGATTTGGACAAAGTCAGACATTTGGACTGAAAAGTGTTTTAAATGAAACTTTTAGACAGACAGACCATTTAATTGTATTTACACCTTCCAAACACAATATATGTTATCTCCACAGAAAAATAGCTCCACGCATGATTGCCATCTTCTTCAAGCCGAGCTGCTTTTGAACCTCATTAGCACATTAAATATAAACATCTTAGCGAAGTTCAACCACCCTTGGGAGTGTTAATTATATGGAGAACTTGGTTGAGAATAAATACATCGAGAGCAGTGAGAAGTGCCGATATTTACTTATTTGAATATTGGCATCCCATACAGTTTCTTCCCCGTCTTTAGAAGGATGAGTAAGCCATCGTCGCCTCTGGAGCATACGTCCTCCGATACGAACGGCTCCTGTATTCGCCACACACCTCCCTCACGCTTATGTGTACAGTCACGCTTTTCCCACCATCGCAATTTAGAGACGACGTAATCCCTGTGCGAAATCGGATAATCCTTTTTGGATGAAATGGCTGTTGTCAAGACTACGAAAGCTACTCCATGTCTAACATTGCATGCTCATTTAGATTTTTTTTTTTTTTGAGCAGACGGACAGAGACTGAGATTACGTATTGGCTTAAACTCGGATTTCTAAGTTTGGTCTTATGCAACTGCACGTTTAGAGTTTTATGTAAGAATTCTGTGTATTTGGAATGTCCTGCACTTGGTGGCACTGGCGAAAGTGGGTGTGACCCCTCACCAGGAGCAATCCAGAGTAAATGTAAAGTATGACTTAGGCCCTGTCCACACGAAGTCAAGCTCAGGCCTAAACGCAAAAATACTTTATCAATCCAGTGTATCGTCCATACGAGGCCGGCGTTTTGGGGGGGTGTAAACGAACATTTTTGAAACTAGGTCCCAGAGTGGAAAGATTTCAAAACTCCGTATATGCCGCTCCGTGGTTACTGCCTCTCCGCAATGTATCTGAGACGCTTGCGTCATCGCCCCGCCTCTTGTTAAAGCACGCATGCGCCGCACTCAGAAAATAATGACAACAACAATGTAGCTTGTTGGTTTTGTAATCCAGTGCGACCCGAAGCAACAGTTCAACCTCATCGTCCGTCCATACTAATGTAGTACCAGCTCGCCCACTCGCCATGTTGTCTGTTTACAAAATTCCGCGCATGCCCAGTTCCCGTCACGGAAGTTTGGGCTTGATCCCGTCATTGCGTCACAGCGCCACCAACAGGTCTGGCATAGTTTCACAGCGTTTTCAGGCGTATTGACTACATTCATATGGACGCACACATTTACTGAGCTAACTCCGTGTTTACAGAAAAAGTTTCTGAAATTATAAGCGTTTTG